CAGCCTGAGCTCTGCCTCCTTCCACCCTCTCCTTTGCCTCCCTTGTCGTTGCCGCCTTCTGAGGCCATGGTGCCCCTAAATCATTCTTGGGGTACTGCTGACCTATCTCCCTTTCCGGGCACAGGTCTCAGCTGCCCCTGGTGTTCCATGCCCCAGGTTCTCTACAAGGGSCAACCTTGTTTTACTCTGTTGCCTCATTAAAGCTCTTCTGCACGCATTCCTGCTAGTTCACGTGGTCCTTCCCTCCATGGTCCTTCTCCCCAGCTGCACAGGAAGAAGGGGAATGTTCTGGGAGTGTGTTCAGGTGGCTTCTGATAACAGGAGGGCCCTTCACCGTTCCTGGAGGAAGCAGAGGATAGAAACTCTGTAGCAGTGCCTTTGGGGCACTCTACCTTGGAGCTGAGGGGACATTCCTGGCTCCACCATTGGGCTGTACCCTCTCAGCCTCAGCACACAGCGTTTGGACTGTGCAGCGAAGCTCAAGTGAAGAGCCCTGGCTGCAGGAGGCTCTGGGARGGCAGCATCCTCACAAGCTCTCACAGGACTGAGCTGATCTTCATCTGAATGAAGCTGTACTGGTGAAAGAGGTTCAGATGGAACACAGGTCCCAAAGAGGGCAGAAGTGAGGATGGGAGGCAATAAGCTTGCAGAAAGCCCRTGTCATCCTGCTCCTTCCTTTGATGGCCTCTTTTTTGRGRGGAAAGTKTCGGGAGAGAAAGAAGCTGGGGGAAACSCAGGAYAGGCTGAGAGGTAGGGGTGCTCTCCAGGTACCGAACGAGTGGCCAGGAGCTCCTCGAAACATTTGTGTGTGCAGCAGGAAGACTGGAGAGGGGCTTCCAGGCTGAGCAAGGGGCAGGACTGAACTGGGCAGGAGACACTCTGAGCCATGACCCCCATSTTTCAGGGTAGCGGAGATGCAACCAACACTGTGTCCCCACACAGCAGCACTATGTCCCAGCCTCGAGGAAGAAGGCTGAGTGCAGCTGCTCTTGGGGAAATCTTGCGGGACAGCTGCAACTGGGAACTGTTTGGTGACACCAAGGACTGACAAGAACATCCTGGGCTGCATTAACAGGAGTACAGCCAGTAGGTAGAGGGGAGTGAKTGTCCATGTGTGCT